GGTCTCTGCAGCATTAAGTGGCCGCATGGAGCCGATGGATCCGGTGTGCAGAAACAAAAATATGTGTAATAGGAAGGAGATTGGGAACCTTTGTCTTACTCGCCTACTAAATACAGCAGACTTACTCATTCAGTCATATTGTTGTAAGCTAAAAAAGTTGCTTTCTCTTTTAATGTAAATTTCTAGTTGAAAGAAATCCACATTTTATGTCTCTATGAGCTTCATTAAAGAATGTTTCACAGCAACAGGACAGACTGTATAAATGTGCAATACTTCGCAAAACCAGCAGAGGGCAGTCTCAGTTTGAAAGCAAATCATATCCAAGCTTTTTAAGTGGAAGAAAAACAACCGATAAAGCAGAAGAGCTTAGATGTAGATAAAAATGAACCATTGACATTACAAATGTGGTTACTGTAGCTCGTCCCGTGGGCTGCGTGTATGAGAAGGTCGCCGAGGACCCAACCACATTCTGGGCTGAATATCAAACTAGTTCAACACAATAAATATTCTGAACAAACAGTTTAGGTGACCCTAAACCATTCTGCTCAACATATGAGGAAGATTGTTGGTGTGTGTTAACAAGTGTGCTGGCTGGTGGTGTTTGCAGGAAAGTGCGGGAAGTGACCACGAGTGTCCAGGAGTTCTTCAGTCAGAGCTGTGAGCTGAGATACGTGGGTCTGTCTGCAACCAAGCTGCCTCCACAGGCTCTCAGGTGCTTCTACTTCAAAACCTACTTAGATTGGATCCTCATCATTTAGAAAATTATCTATAACCATGTACTGAAAAAATATTGATGCATCTTTTGCATCTACTTGAGCAAAGTTAGTTACTTTTACACAATTGTTTCATGTCTTACCCTGCTAACATGAAACTATTGTGTTAAAGCAACTAAATATGTTTAAACAGATGCAATAAAAGCACGAAGCTTCTTTTTTCATTATATCAAGAATAAACTTTTATCCAATAGATTTACTTTAAAACCCGATTTCAAAATCTGCAGTGATGCTCATGTCTTTTGTGAAGCACTGTGCTTTAACCAGCAGCTAGATTATCTGCTGCTGGTTAATTATCTGAACATGTTTTTGGAGCACTGGTCGTTCCACGGTCCCACAGAGAATCCCGGAAGTCTGTAGGCGGTTGAACTGAGTGGAGAATTCTGGGATTAAGGGCCCCGCTCAGGGACCTAAAGTGATAAGTGTCTGAGTTTTGAACCGGCGACCTTTCCCCCAGCTGGTGGTTGGGATCAGGAGGAGATTTTCCATTAGGCAATACCAGGCAGTTACCTAGGGCCCCACATTCCTGGGGGCCCAATAAATATAAAACATTTAAAAACAAGCGATGCAAAGAGCAGTGTTGCCAACTTAGCGCTTTAGTCGCTATATTTAGTGACTTTTTAGACCCCTCTAGAACTTTTATTTCTAAAAAGCTCCTAGCCCCAAAGCTAGAGACTTTTTTTCTGCTACTGGAGACTTTGGAGACAA